AATTACAGGCCTCTCTCATCTTTTTAAGTGGGAGAACTTGCACAATTGGTGGCTGACTAATTACTTTTTTGCCCCACTGTAGGTAATGCCCAGCAACTTGAATTGCACCTGGAAACAAACTGGCAACCAATGCAGCTCGCAACATAGGAATATTACATGGGCATACTGAGGCATGCCCATGCCACTGCATTCTGGACCAGTTGAAGCTTCTGGATGGTCTTCAGCGGCAGCCTCACATACAGCACTTTGCAGTAGTCAAGCTGTGAGATATCTAGGTGTGACTGTCTGAGGGGCCTCCAGATCTAGGAAGGGGTGCAATTGGCACACCAGATGAAGCAGTGCAAATGAGTAGCTACCACCTACTCATCAAGCAGGAGCTATGAGTCCAGGAAGGCCCTCAGAAAGTTTTTGTTTTGGGTTCCTAAGAGGAACACACAGAACGGGCACACCAAGCTGCTCAGCATCGGAAGAGCTGCTCCGAAACCACTTGAACCCAGAGACCTTTTCGGCTACAAGACAAGAGCAGCTGCCGTTTTTGCAGTGATTGCATCACTCCAGCTTTGAAGGGGTCCAACCTTATGAGAAGACTCTCCCAAGCTCAAAGCAACGTTAATCCTATCGCGGCTGGGACTGCAACCCTGCCTGGGCGCTCAAAGTTAGCTCCCAATGAATTCAGGAGACTCGCTCGTGGCTTAGGATAGAGAACGGCGGCCTCAGCCTGGTTTCATGCCAGGCACCTCTTTCCTCAACCGCGCCAGGAGGAAGACTTTAGAAGTCCAGCGTCGTGCTGGAGATCCCTCTGGACCGAAGTGGCCCCGAAGAGGCAGCAGCAGGGGTGCGGGTCAAGATAAGGCGCCTTTCGGAAAAGAGCTCCGTCCGGCTGAACTTTATTTCCTCGCAACCTCCGTGAAGTTGCAGGCATTTTTTTACGGAAGGCCTCTCGCTCTTGGGATGCTCTCGCACTGTTACTGAAAGGAGACTTAAGGAGACCTCAGAGGTGCCTGCTCCTCAGCAAGTCTTACTCCCGAACAAATGGGGGGGGATAACCAGTGGCCCCCTGACAAAAAGGGGCCACCCGTGCCCCGCCTGGAGACAGCCTGGCCGAGCTCCTGCGCCGAGCCGGACCGGCTCCCTTCTGCTACCAGCAGAGCCCGGCGGTCGCGCTGCAACCCTCTAGGCGCTTGGGTGGCTCGCACGCGACCTACCTGCCGCCGTAGTGACCGCTGAAATCCCACTTCGCCTCTCCCCAGCCGACACCTTCCGCTCAGCCGGGCCGCGATGAATCAGCCCGATTCATTCAAACTCGGTGTAGCGTCCCAGGCCTCCTAGAAGCACTTCCGGGGCCAAAGAGCAACACCCGCTCCTACTGTAGCCCCAACTTCCGCTCCTGTGTTGGCAGCCAATCGTGTACTCGAGCTCGGAATCCTAGCAACGAGTTGTCCCGCCCGCTCACTCCTCCCCTGCTGTACAGTGTGAGAAATGCGCGTCTCTGGTTCTGCCTCTCTTGCGTCGCACACTTGAATTGCTTTTCTGGAGCACTTGCGCTTCAGCCTAAGGAGGCTGTTAGCTTTGGGCCTATGCTTTGTCCTTTATTTGGTTGTGGATACGCAGCACTTTCCCACTAGATGTTAAAGAAGGTGACATTGCTGGAATCCTAAACGCAGTAGGACATTTGCAAAGACCAAATACAGTGATTTATACACGGTGCCATTTTTTCCCTTCCTTTATAGAAATGCTGCCTTTGAAAAGTGGTATTGTCAGTATGGAAAAGTGATGGAGGTGAAACGGCCCTTAGGGAAACATCACCAATTGGTGTTCCATCAGTGGATGCTTTTATGATTAATGCTGGTGTCTTATTTCACTGCACAGGGCAGGAAGCAGGATCGCCAGGAATGACATGTAGCAAAATGGGGCATGTGAGCGCACCTCAGCCTTCCTCAAACTGGTCCACTGGGCAAGAGTTCTGTCATTTGGAGCAAACACGGTCAGTGGAACTTGCGGTTCAGAACACCCAAACAGGTGGTGGAAGTCTGATGCCTACCGTACAACACAAAACACGTCATGTAAGAAAATCTTTGAATTATCTTCCAGCTTCCTGTCAGGCTGTATTTTTTTATCGGATCATAAATCATGTGCTGAGAGTGTGTTTAGAATACCACTGATGAGAATTAAATTACCTTGAAAATACAGCTTCGCTTTCTGGCACTTACAGCAAGGTGACTAAAGTTTCTGCCTTTCATAACAAAAGGTCTGTTCTGTGTCTGTGCTGTATGGATTGGATTGACTGGGAACCGAGCCAATATTTCTATTGAAAAGACAGTTTGTAGCTTGTGCAATGCTATTATGAGATTCCAGTGTTTTGCCCAGATAATCATCTTGATATCGCAACCCCTTGCAGGTGCAAGAATCTGCACCCCACACTCACTCGCCAGAGAAAGGCTTCTTATTCTTCTCAATGATGGAGCAATTCCAAGGCACAAATTGATTTATGTACCAAGCTGCTGCTTCCTTTGAGGTAAAGAAGCATCTATAGACATACCAGAAGCTGTGGATCTGAGTTAATGTTTTCAAGTGTTTATGCCTCACATTTTCCTCAGCTTTTAACATAATTATTCACATTCTCTGCCACCATATTTATTGGCATTAGGGAGGGCATATGAAATATTTACAGAAATAATGTATTCCAACTTCTACATGTACAGGCAATACTTTATGTATTTATTCAACAGTACATTTCAGTGTGTTCAGTCTGATGAATCCCAGTTAAGCTTGCTTGCATAGAATTAGAGCACTAGTCTTATACTTCAAGACCTCTATGATGGTAAAATTCATAATGGCTAACACTTATACACTATGTGATAATACTGAATGTTCAAATATGTATGCTAAAAACCCTATTGCACCAAAGTAGAGGTAGGTATTTCCCAGGTTCCCAAATAAGCAGATTCACACGTAAAACGTTCCAACAGTTATTTTTCTCTTCATTTTGTCTGTTTTAAAAAGACTTAAAAATTGTATTAAAAGGACAGATTAACTGTGAATTAGGGTTTACTGTCTCTGGATTGTAAAAATCCAATGGCCACTAGATGGCAGCAGATTTAGAATCTTTTCTGCCATGTAATGGTTGTCCAGGCTTTCGCTGTAGATATATAAAAGAAGTTCACACTTAGGATATGGAAGCATAAATAATAGAGTTGAAAGGGACCCTTTAGTCCAGGCCTGCACAACTTGTAGAGGGGGAAAAGCCACATTGATAAAAAGAATCGTGGGCCACAAAGGAATGCGTGGCATGTGGATCAGTGGTTCGGTGACTAGCAGTGCAGAGGCAGCACTGGAGCTGGTGGCGTTGGTGAGGCATTGTGGGTGCTTAGCAGCATGTCTTTCAGGGTAGTGATGGCAGATCCTTCCTGGTGGTGTGACATTTGGCAGCGGTGAATTTATTAAAGTTTTGAAAAATGCCAGTGGGGCGCACAAGGTTGCTTGGCGGTCTGTGGTCCATATGTTGTGCAGGCCTGCTTTAGTCCATCCAGTCCAACCTCCTGGTCAGTGCAGGAACCACAACTGAAACATCTTAGACCAGTGTTTCTCAACCGTGGTAACTTTAAGATGAGTGGACTTCAACTCCCAGAATTCCCTAGCCAGCTTGGCTGGCTGGGGAATTCTGGGAGTTGAAGTCCACTCATCTTAAAGTTACCACGGTTGAGAAACACTGTCTTAGTCAGATGGCTGTCTAGCTTCTAGTTTAACACGTACATGGAAGAGAGCCCACCAACTCAATGGGCAATTGGTTCCACTGTTAAACTTTATTTATTTCTTAAATTTATATAGCTGCCCATCTCACTGCTGCAAGTCTGGGTGGTTTACATTACTAGAGGAGCAGCCTATCCAAAGCAGAATTTCT